GGAAGAAATAAAGGGAGAAATTAAAGACTTCCTAAACTTCAATGAAAATGACTACACAGCGTACCCAAATTTATGGGACACAATGAAAGCAGTGTTAAGAAAAAAGTTCATAGCACTAAATGCCTACATAAAGGAGTTGGGAAAAGCCCACACTAATGAATTAACAGAACATTTGAAAACTTTAGAACAAAAAGAAACAAACTCACTTAAGAGAACTAGACGGCAGGAAATAATCAAATTGAGAGCTGAAATCAACAAAATAGAAACAAAGAAAACAATACAAAGAATCAATGAGACAAAGAGTTGGTTCTTCCCCCGCCCCCTCCAAAATCAACAAAATAGACACACCTTTATCCAAACTAATCCAAAGGCAGAGAGAGAATATCTAAATTAACAAAATCAGAAATGAAAAGGGGGACATAGCACCAGGCATGGAGGAAATCCAGAGAATCAACAAGTCATATTTCGAAAACCTGTACTCCACAAAATTGGAAAACTTAAAGGAAATTGACAACAACTTTCTGGATAAATATCACTTACCAAAATTAACTCAAGACCCAATAAGCAAAAGTAAACAGAGTCATCAAAAGTCTCCCAACCAACCAACCAACCAAACAAAAAAAACCAGGACCAGATAGATGGTTTCAGCTCAGAATTCTACAACTTTCAAAGAAGAACTAATTAATATCAATACTCCTCAAATTATTCCACACAATAGAAACAGAAGGAACATTGCCAAACTCTGTTTTTAGAGGCTACAATCACCCTCACAACCAAACCACAGAAAGACATTACTAAGAAAGAGAATTACATACCAATCTCACTCATGAACAGTGATGCAAAAATACTAAATAAAATACTGGCAAATCAAATCCAAGAACACATCAGAACCATCATCCACCATGATCAAGTTGGCTTCATCCTAGAGATGCAGAGATGGTTTAACATATGAAAATCTGTCAATGTAACCCACCATATAAACAAACTGAAAAATAAAAACCACATGATCATCTCATTAGATGTCGAAAAAACTTTCAACAAAATACAACATCCCTTCATGATAAAGGTCTTGGAGAGAGCAGGGATATAGAACATAGACCTAAACATAATAAAGGCAAAATACAGCAAGATAACAGCCAACATCAAACTAAAAGGAGAGAAAACTCCCAGCGATTCCACCGAAATCAGGAACAAGACAGGGTCATCCACTCTCTCTATATGTATTCAATATAGTTGTTGAAGTCTTAGCTAGAGCAGTAAGGAGATCAAGGGAATACAAATTGGAAAAGAATAAGTCAAACTCTCACTATTTGCTGATGATATGATAGTATACATAAGCGACCCCAAATATTCTACCAAGGAACTTCTACAACTCATAAACACTTTCAGTAATGTAGCAGGATACAAGATTAAATAAAAAAACATCAGTAGCCCTCCTGTACACAGATGATAAAAGGGCTGGGGGAAAAAATCAGAGAAACATCACCCTTCACAATAGCCACAAAGAGCATAAAATATCTTGGAGTAACTCTAACCAAACAAGTGGAAGACTTGTATGACAAGAACTTTAAATTTTGAAGAAAGAAATTGAAGGAGACACCAGAAAGTGGAAAGATCTCCCATGCTCTTGGGTAGGGAGAATTATCAACATGTAGAATGAAAATAGACCAAGATCTATCACCATGCACAAAACTCAAGTCCAAATGGGTCATAGACCTCAACATAAAGCCAGTCACACTGAACCTTATAGAAGAGAAAGTAGGAAACACAGTTGAATGCATTGGCACTGGAGACTACCTCCTAAATATAACCCCAGTAGCACAGACACTGAGAGAAACAATTAATAAATGGGACCTCCTGAAACTGAAAAGCTTCTGTAAAGCAAAGGACATGGTCAACAAGACAAAATGACAGCCTACAGAATGGGAAAAGATCTTCACTAACCCCATATCAGACAGAGGTCTGATCTCCAAAATATACAAAGAACTCAAGAAACTGGTCATCAAAAGAATACATAATCCAATAAAAAGAATGGAGTACAGACCTAAACAGAGAACTATCAACAGAGTAATCTAAAATGGCTGAAAGACACTTAAGGAAATGTTCAACATCCTTAGTCATCAGAGAAATGCAAATCAAAACAACTCTGAGATTCCATCTTACACCTGTAAGAATGGCCAAGATCAAAAACACTGGTGACAACTTATGCTGGAGAGGTTGTGGGGAAAAGGGAACACCTCTGCATTGCTGGTGGGAGTGCAGGCTGGTACAACCCCTTTGGATGTCAGTGTGGCGATTTCTCAGAAAATTAGGAAACAACCTTCCTCAAGACCCAGTAATACCACTTCTGGGTATATATCCAAAGGATGCTCAATTGTGCCACAAGGACATGTGCTCAACTATGCTTATAGCAGCTTTGTTTGTCATAGCCAGAACCTGGAAACAACCTAAATGCCTCTTGATCAAAGAATGGATAAGGAAAATGTGGTACATTTACACAATGGAGTACTACACAGCAGAAAAAAATAATGACATCTTGAAATTTGTAGGAAAATGGATGAAGCTAGACAACATTATTTTGAGTGAGGTAACCCAGACACAGAAAGACAATTATCACATGTACTCACTCATAGATGGTTTTTAAACATAAAGCAAAGAAAGCCAGCCTACAAACCACAATCCCAGAGAACTTAGACAACAATGAGGACACTAAGAGACTTAACAGATCTAATCTACATGGGAAGTAGAAAGCAGAAAAAGACAAGATCTCCTGAGTAAATTGGGAGCATGGGGACCTTGGGGGAGGGTTGAGGGGAGAGGGGAGAGGCAGGGAGTGTAGGAGAGAAAAATGTAGAGCTCAATAAAAATCAATAAAAAAGGGGAAAAAAGAAAAAAAGAATTGTTCATGTTTGTGAGTGAGGCTTTTTAATTTCTTCACATGCTTAAAGAATGTATTTACCCACCTAAAAAAACCAAAAATGTGTATAGTATAATAAAATGATGTTGTAAAAATGAAAAAAGTTAAACATTTCTGTAAAAAATATTAAATGGGTAAATGCAGCTGATGAACTTTACATGAAAGAGAGTTTTATGAATGAAACTGCCTACTACATAAAGTCTATGATTATAAAAAACATGACAAAGATTAATGAGTCAACACGGTAATCGCCATTAAACAAAGGAGGCAGGAAACCAAGAAGCACCATCTCAAACATCTCTTGTCACCATTATAAATGCACAAACGAACAAGGATTCCAAGCAAAGGAAGACAGATTTGGTCACAAATGAAAACATTATTGTTTCCTATGATAGGTACTGAAGGAAATTATTTTAATTAATTTCATTTTAATCTTTGTATCAATAAATCCTTGAAATAGTTTCAAACTGCAAGTCAATTCCTTTTGCTAATTCTTACCATAAAGATGAGGCTAAATTACAGTAGGAAGATGTCTCATAGAAGTATGTGTCAAGCGGTTGTGGGATTCACTGAGACTAATGGCCTAGGAAGAGGGAGAGATTTAATGGAAGCCTAAGCCCTTTTCACTACTGCAAAGATACTTTGGGTTAGAAACACCACGCACTGACAGTAATAGGATGGAAGTACACAGCAGCACAGAAGCAAGGGATACTTTAGAGGGAAGAGGAGCTATTTGGCAGAAGTTTGTCTTGTTGCCATTTATCTGATGAGACAGGTTTAGACTCTTCATTTCAATCACCAATTCCTCTGTATAAACCATGGCCTATAAATTTAATATTTTGCTTTTGAAGTAGGTTTCTCTTATAAGAAATCCGCTAAAAAAGAAAAATATTAAGTCCCTCTGTTCTTGTTCAAAGCAATCTATTCCCAACACAGGAGAAACCTTACGAGTAAGCACAATATTTTGAAAATTAATTCTGAAATTAACACTGGCAGTATAGAATGATGGGAAGAAGGCAAATTTTGTTAGTATTTTTTTTTTTTTGGTTTTCTAAGACAGGGTTTCTCTGTGTAACAGCCCTGGCTGTCTTGAAACTCGCTTTGTAGACCTGGCTGGCCTTGAGCTCACATAGATTTGCCTCCTCCAGAGTGCTGGGCATGTCACCACCACCTGGTAAGGACAGATTTTGGATGTAAAGATTTTAATCTTTAAGTCAAAAGAGAAGAACAGCAGATCATTCTCAGAGGTATGAGTATGTACTTACCGTACCCCACTGAGAAAACTCCTGTGCTTCCAGTTCTTTACCTGGAAAACTGAGGCACTGCCACCTACCTTACAAGGTTGTCCACGGAAACGAAGGGACTGAGTATTTACAGTATATATTCAGTTTCCTTTTTTCTATTGTCTCTTGTTTTGAACTGAACTACTATACTTTCTCTTCCTTCAGACTCCAATAATATGAGGAAAGAACGCAAAGATTCTGGAAGGCCTGCTGCTCTTATATATAAAGTGTTTTTGCCACAGTATAGGAAACACGGCAACTATGCTTCATAAACCTCTGCTTTGCTCCCAGTTTGCTACAGGGATTACATCTTGCCATCTATAGTCCTGGTCATATACTATATTCTCACTAGTAAATCTTCTTACAAAGTCAACAGCTATTCACAGACTGAGAACATGCCAGTGGATTTGTCAGACTGTCAGGAAACAAAGGATGCATTTGCTGTATCACCAATTCCTGTAGAGCTAGGCTCTGAATATCCCCTATGGAAAGTCTGGACCAATAGAAGTTCTGTTGACCATTGAAACATTCTACATCTGCAATGTCCAGTGTGGTCTTCATTAGCACGTGAGGCTACTAAGTACTTGGCTTCTGAGCACGTGGAATTATTTAATTATTTAATTATTTATTTAATTATTGTTCCCAGGAAATAATAACGTTAGGCATTACTTAATTTAAACTTGATTTTAATTAACTTAATCTTTAAATTGCCACTGGTGGTTAGTGGCTGAACATTAGACAGTGCAGATGTAGAACATTTCCATGTTCAGTATATATACAACAGATATTTAATATTTAACCTTGTCCTCTTTCCATGGGTACTGGTCCACCTCCTTGCATTCCCACTTGGGCTTGCATGACTCCTAGAAAACAAAGGGCAAGGAAAAATATATTTGGTTTGTAGAACAAAACAATAGTGGCTGAGTTTACAAATGTCATCATTTTTCCCACAAAGAGAAGCACATGATGGAAGATGATAACCATCATCCAACCATGCAGAGAAACAGAAGATGAAGTCTATCAGTATATCACACTTCAGTGACAAATGAGCTCAGAAGGAATATTTCATCTCAATTACCAACATTGTGGCAGAAAGCCCTTTAATGGAGAAAAACAATGCCTATTACCCACAAGCCTCCTCTCATGGGAGGCAGTATACTCTTAGGGTATTTTATAAATGTGTGGCTATATTATTTAGTTATGACAAAGCTCTTTAGAGGCACGGTTAACCCTGAATGAGATGGTACCAGGGATACTAGGTGGCTTACAAAGTATGAGGAAATCACACAAAATCAAGGCTGATATTGTGTCTGAAAACCTTAGAAATGACTCACTGAACATTCATATAAAGGAAAAGCTATCTGTTGCCATCTCAACCTAGAATCTGAATCTGTTTTATTTGTAAACATAAAAGTTTTATGTACTGTTTTAGTATATATACACTGACTTTTCTAGAAATGCACTTTCTTAGTAAATTATGGAGACTGCAATTAGTCGCATGATTTCTCACTATTTAGGAAAACCATATCAATAGTCCTTGTGGTATTTGAATTACCAAAGCAAACACTACTATAACAATGTACATTTTTAGTTTTTACATTCAGGGGATAGATGTAAACACCTATTATATTTTGTTTCCTAACTTTACCTGAATATTTGTATATTAATTTTTAATCATAAATTAATTTTCTTTTACTTTTTATTTGTTATAATTAGGGCATTATATTAATTTTTGAAGTTATGTTACAAAGGTTATCATCATCTGTGCACTACATTTCAGGACAGTAAAGTCACTGCAAAATATCTGTCACAAAGAGGGGGTACTGGATTTAGCAAGTTGAAAACCTATGGTCTACACTAATCAGATGGAATGTGATGACTACTACAAGAGTAATCAATGCACCACAAATCCTTGTCTGATCCCTTCCACATAGCAATAACTCTTTTCCTCAAAGGAGCAAGATATGCTCTTGAGTGGGGACAAAAGGCAAGCTGATTTGTTTGCAGTTAATTAATACTTCCTTAAAATACAGTATTTAAAATAAAGTATACATCACACTGTCCCTATTTCAGTGAATTTGCTTAGCACTAAAAATTTAGGGATTAAGTACCCAGAGAACTGGGTGCTAGTCTAGCTCTTGCTAAGTAACTGGGATTCTGAACAAGTGCCTCAATAAAATTACTACATTCCCGACTTCCTCATCGGTAAAATAAACAGGTTGTTCCAAATGGCAGTCCTCAGAAGGTGGCCCCCAGCTAGACAAGCCACATCACTACCAACAAGAAAAATGCAAACACTGAAAATTCTCAGGTTCTGCACCTCAGATTTATTAAATTATAGTTGGCAGTAGGGACCATCAACCTGCATTTTATAGGCCCTTCAGGTGATTCTAACACACAGTAAAGTCTGGAACCACTGATCTAAAATGATTTGAAAGCTTCCTTCCAGCCATGATGTTCCATTCCATTGAATCCAAACCAATTACCAACACAACACAATGGTTGTTGTTGAGGAACACATATGAGGAAAAGCTAGCAGAAGACATTATGAGCATAATTTCCCACATAAAGAAATCATACACAACACCTTAATTTGTACAGACTAAATTCCCAATGGTGTAACTAGTGGTCAGAATGTAGGAATCTTTCATGTTATACTAAAAACCTTCCTACTTCTATCAATGATGTATGAGTACAAATTTCTTTATAAATATTGTCCTCTTTGAAACTTGGCACTGATGGGTATTAAGTAGCATTTTATTTTTACATTATTTGTTTAACTCCAAACCATAAAGGAGGCTGTTTTTGTTGGCCATATGGCTTTGCTCTTTTACATAGCTCTTAAACAGTTTCTTCTGCACTTTTCTATAAGTTGTTTTCTCTTCTTAGCAATTTTCAAGGAGCTCTGTAGGATAGCTAAAGAAATTTCCAAGACATTTTAATAAATTCATACACACACACACACACACACACACACACACACACACACACATATATATATATATATATATATATATATATATATAAAACTCAAAAACATCCCTTGAAAGTTAATTATTTTAATTTTATGGATACACTCAGTTCATTTTGGGGGGTGTTTTTATTGATAAGAAATTTTTTGTGTCTGGTGCTGGGAACTGAACATGAGACTTTGGACATGGTAGACAAGTGCTTTATCACTAAGCTACATCCCTATCTTCATTCATTTCCTCTTCTTGGTGTCTTGTGGTTGATTATTTTTCTAATTAATTAGTAGCAGTATGGAATTTACTTTATTGGTTAGTAACATGAGTATTTAGAATATTCATTTTCCTTTAGCCACCACCTTTACTATTTGTCATACATATCTATATGGAATATAAACACATATTACTTTTTGTGTTAATTTATACTATTTATGATTTGTATTTCCTCTTTAAATAGCTATAGTATGTTTATTAATTTTCCAAGTCAAAACTTCTTCCCACTCACCTTTTAATTATTTCTAATTTTATTGGTTTAAAACCAAACTATGTGATCTATAAAAATCTCTACTGCCTCAAATTTGTTAAATTGGATTTATGGCTAAGTACTTGGTCTTTTTTAAAGGGTTCAATGGTCATTTGGAGTAGGGGAGTATACACTGCAGCCAAGAGATGCAAGGCTATTTCTAAATATTAAATGGAGCTTGCTGATCCCATTAATTACCTATTGAATATGCACAGCTACTTTTTATCCAATAGGACAAGATTACTCAACCTGTAAGTACATAAAGGGAGAGCAGATAGAAATCTCTATGAATTTGACACTGTTGTGACATCCAAGTGTGTGGCCAGCACACCTGTCTCAAGATTTCATTTAGCTGGGATCGGTGACATATGCCTCTAATCCCAGTACTTGGGCATCTGAATTAGGGGGATTGCCAAGTTTGAGGCCAGCCCCAGCTATACAGCAAGACCTTTTCTTCCAAATAATACAAAACAAAGTCTTCAGCCTAGAACACATGTTATAATTACACATATATTTTATGTATTTTATATCAAGATCCTATTACTAAATAAGTAACTGCATTTCAGCAGTTGCTACTATAAGTCCTCAGCAAAGAAATAAAATAGTAAAGACTAACTGAAAGTTACCTGCAGGAGCTAAAGAACCAGGGCCAGGCCCTGCTACAGCTGCAGTCATTTGCACTGGGGCAGGTACTCCACCTGGCATAGAAGCTTGCATCAGAGGTGCACCATTGACATGCATTCCGCCCTGACCAAGAGAAAAACAAGTGTGAGCAAGTCTCTGCAGCCTCAGCATTAGGTTTATCACATACTCTGAATTCCACAGAAGCAAAATGAAGTACGTGGCTTGAGCCTGGTTATGTGAATGCAGTTAAAATGAAGCATATGCCTACTGTAGAGGCTAGTGTAGTCCATGTGGCAAGGCAGCAAATCACAACCCATCCTTGACATCATTGATTGGTGCCTAAAAATAAGTTAAAAATATACCTTATGTTTAAGACAGAAAAGGGACTGTGACTTCAAAAAATCCTGCTGGTACTGTATTTTCATGAAAAAAAATATTTATGAAAAAAATTTTCAAGCTTTAATAACTTCTGTCCTTAGATGTAACTTTCTTGAGTGTGTATATAATTTGTAAATGATACATTAAATTGCCTGAGAGAAAGGGAATGTAATCTTTTTATGAGGCATTCCGTAAAGAACTATGCACATCTTTGGAATGTAAAGAACTGCAAAGAATAAAGTTTTTTAAAAATCAAATATATGAGCACCAAAAAGAAGAAAGTTTGGAGTCTGAGTTCAGTACTATCTTACCCTTTCTGCATGTCTCTGTAGTCTGTATATAGTACAACAGTTTAGTAATAAAGTGACAAATGAGATTCAGAGTAGAGATGCTTCTCATATTGGCTGCTTCTTAAACCAACAGCAGGGGTTTACCTGTTCGATAAAGTCCAAAACAGCATGGATCCCAATAGCTCATGACTGGTTCACATGTTCACCCCTGACCTTATCATTGTGAGTGGTGATGGTAGAGGGGAGTGAAATGTACTGGCACTTTTGTTTTCTTCAGATACATTTCAAGATCTCCAGTGGATATTCAAAGCCTTATATATTTTTTAACTTGTCTGTATATATCACTGCTTTTCTCTATGGTTCATTTTAGAGGTTTACAACAATAACTAAAAATAGAACTCTCCCCCCAAGACACGGTTTCTCTATGTAACAGTATTGGCTGTCCCGAACACTCGGTAGACCAGGCAGGCCTCGAACACAGAGATCCACCTGCCTCTGCCTCCCAATTTCTGCAATTAAAAGTGTGTGCCACCACCGCACAGCTCTCTGCCTTGCAAGTGCTAGGATTAATGGTATGCATCACCAAATTTGGCTAAACTATTAACCAATTAAATTTTTTTTCAAGCCAGGAATAGTGCATGCCTTTAATCCCAGCATTCAGGAGGCAGAGACAGGTGGATCTTTGTGAGTTAAGAAGTCAGCCTGGTCTACACAGTGATTTCTAGGACTGTCCCAAAGCGAGAGACCCTGTCATTCATATATATATGAATTTATATATATACATATATATTTCCTCAAATTTTTTTGTGTCCACATGTACACCCCAGCATGTATGCACGTGGAGGTCAGAGATCAGAAGACAACTTGCATAAGTTTTCTTTTTCCACTATATGACTCCTGGGGATTGAACTAAGGTTGTCAGGTGTGGCAATAGGCTCCTTTATCTATTGAGCCATCTTGTCATCCATCCATCCACCCATCCATCCATCCATCCATCCATCCATCCAGTGTGTGTATATACAATGGTACACTTGAGGACAATTTGCAGGAATACATTCTTTCTACAATGTGTCTTCCAGTGATTGAACTCAGGTTGTCCTTATAGTAAACACCCTTCTGAACCATTTTGCAGTCCCCCAGTCTTGGTTTCTTTTTTTGGAGGCAGGGTCTCAAATATCCCAGAGAGGCTTCAGTTTTGCTAAGGAGCCAAGGATGACCTTGAATCCTGACCTACCTGCCTTTATCTTACAAGTGCTAAGATTACAGGCACCACCGTGCCTGTTCCTATCAGTGGCTTTATAAGTGGGGTATTCTCCAGAACACAAACAGATACATTTACATATTAGCTCACATTACAGAGATGATACAGCTATTAAAGCCAACGATATCTACTGAGTTTCTTAAGAAAATGTTTATAAATTTTTTCCTTATAACATCATTGGATTCATCTACATTTACCTCTGCCCACCTAATAGGTGAAAAATTGTGGCTTATTTTACTTTATATTTTTAGACTGAATACTTAGTTTCAGTTTTGTGAACTGTTTATGCTTACAACTCATTTTGATATTTTAAAAAATAACATATAGGTTTTTTTGCTTATGAAAAAGAGATATAGCCGGGTGGTGGTAGTGCAACACCTTTAATTCCAGCACTTGGGAGGCAGAACTCTGTGAGTTCGAGGCCGGCTTGGTCTACAAAGGGAGTTCCAGGACAGCTAGGACTGTTACACAGAGAAACCCTGTCTCAAAAAACCAAAAGAAAGGAAAAAAAAGAAAAAGAAAAATAGAGATGTAAAGATATAAACAACATAACCTCCTATGTGGCTTTCATCTACACCTCATATTTCTACTCCTAAAATAACTACTCAGAATTCTTATTCACATTTAAAATGTTTATACTTGGGCTTGAAAGATGTCTCAATGCTTATAAACACTTGTTTCTCTTGCAGAGGACTTGGGTTCTATATCCAGCATCCACATGGAAGCTCAAAATAGTCTGTATGTCTAACTCTAGGAATGCTGACATCCTCTTCTGGCCTCCTTAGACACTTCATGCACAATGTACTTACATATATGCATAAAAACAGATACACATAAATCTTTAAAACATATTTACAAATATTGAATTTTTTGCATTTCACTTAAAAGTTCGAGAACTTATGCTAATACATATATCCATATGGAGAATGTTTCCATATTTACTTTACTTTCTGTATGCCATTATATTTTTGAGTTATCTGTGCTGATACCACATACTCTTGCCTGGTGCGGGAGAATTGTCTGTATTCTGTCAATCATGTTTTAAATAAATGTTGATTGGCCAGGCAGGAGGTGTAGGTGGGAAAACCAGACAGGAAGTGGAAATGATGCAAGGAGAGCAGAATTCTGGGGAGGAGGAAGTTGATTCCTCCCACTCTTGCCCAGACCACTAAAGCAGCAGGTTGTGAGCTGCCCCACTGAAAAAGGTACTGAGCCACATGGCTAACATAGATCAGAAAAATGGGTTAATCAAGATGTGAGAGTTAGCTAATAAGTAGCCTGACCTAATGGACCAATCAGCTTTATAACTTATAGAGATCTCAGTGTGATTTTTCTCTGGGACTAAATAGCTGGGGTACTGGGCGGGACAGAAAAACACAAACAAGCCGGCCTCCCCTCATGTTACACTTGCCCACCTTAATATTATATGGCATTAGGTTTCTAAAGGTCATTCCTATTCATACATGTAGTTTACTTAACTGTTTAAAGATTTCCATTGGATATATACCAAATTTTCTCCACTTTTCATTAATGAACATTTCATGTGTTTGTAATATTTGTTACTATTATATGGCAATAGGCATCTTTGAGCATGACCAAGTACTTTTTATTTAGAATTAATCTTTTGCACATCATATGTGTGACAAATCCTTTTCCCATTTCGTCTTTAGTGTTTACTTCCTTTTCTTTACATAAACGTCAACCTTTAGATGTATTAAATTTTTATGTCTATAGGGTTACAATCATGCTTTTGAACATGTGCTTGGTCCTTTGTTATTGCTGAGAATGGAGGCAGTAAAAATGCTTGCTTCAGATTAAATGAGATAACAAGGAATACTAAAGTGATAACCACAGTGGCAGGAATATACACCCACAAAAAATTAGCTTACTAGAAAAAGGTTTACAGAAAGGTTCTCTATTTTATTAACATGAAATGGAATCTACACTCTTTCAGGTAGCATGTGCTCTGCAATCTAGAAATTTCTCTTGCACCTAAAAATTTTAATTACCATCTCTGATTCTTGCTGTTTCTTCTCTCAATATTCTCCTGGAAAGAAAATAACATTTTAAGACAAATAAAAAAAATACTGTAGAATAAAACCCTACCAAAGATTGAGCCTGAGGGGCCTGAGGATTCTGCTGGTTCATTGAAACATTGGGTCCTGAGCCAGGCCCAGCAACATGGACTGGCTGAGGGTTGCCAGAAATCAGCGTTGGAATATTTGTCTGGCGATGCAGAATTTTCTAAAAAGTGAAAAGATACATCTATGAGCTCTCTGTTTAACAAGCCAATCAGGCAGTTCTTATCCCACTGAAAGAATATTCTTCTATTTCCATATAAGAATCAGAAGCACTCACCAGGGCAATCTCAGGATCCACAATTCTCATCACTACCTGTGCTTGTAGCAAAGCATATGCCAGCTGAGGATTCTGAAGCAACATGTTTCGTGCTTCCTGGGGACTATTCTGGACACAGAGCTGAGAAGATAAGAAAATTCACCTTCAGGTTCAATACTAAGAATCTGATAATGATTTGAGCCATTTCATCTCATAAATGTAGTATTCAAGACAATCTGAGTTACTATTGATTTTTTTATGAGACAGTGTTTCATGTATCCCATTTTGATACTGAACTCACTGTAACCCCTCTGCCTCAATATCCCAAGTGGTGAGTCTAAGGCACACAACACCATGTGATTTAGCACTGACTTTGACACTGAACAAAAAAATCTTGGCCACGGCAGGAAGAAAAAGTACTTATAATATGGTAATATTACCACTTATGGGCAAAGCTATAATTTAACATCTACAGGGGCATAGAAACAATGCTGGACTGTTTGTGTATAAAAACAGCTCTGTGTATAAAATGTGGAAGTAGTGTCTACAGACTCAATTACTTAAGCCCAGGGTATCATGTCCATTGACTCCTTGAAAAGCTGATGTAAATTGGTTTGTTTATAATCTGATGCCTCCTCCCACCTTCATCTGTTTCATCAGCTCAAACATCTGTTCTGGTGGAAGACTAGCAACAGCTTTGCTAATAGATTCAGGGGCATCCTCGGGGTTGATGGTCTCTCCATAAGGTGACTCGATGACAGGTGCACCAGTGCCAAGGCCTGATTAGGAAGAAAGCAAACAAAATCAGGGAGGCAACATAACACCCTAAGTCATTTCAAGTGTCTATTTCCCAGGGTTTCTGTGAGCACCAACCATAACTTAAAACTCTGGAACTGAAAAGTAAGCCACCCAAAAATTTCATTTCTGTGAAGGAAAGTGACAGTATACCTTCTGCTCTTAGAGGAGAGCTGACACAATAATGCCACTACTGATTTCGTTGATAAGTCACTTCAGAAGAAAAGCAAAACAGACAAAGACATTAATTTCAAGGATTTGTGGAACCGCCTTTAGCCTTGGTGGACCTGAATTGCCCTTAAACTAGAAACCAACTCCTAGGGAACAGAAGGATTTCTAAAGCCAAGTTGCTTAAACATACACATCCTTCACTCAGGTACCTCAGGTTCTAAGAAGCTGTTCACTCAGCTCACACCCTCAGCATCTTCTAAAGCATAATCACAAATGGAAAACTTGCATTGCTTCATCTTCAGGAACTTGTAATGGATATGGCTTGGATTTATACTCACTTTTGAGTTCCTCTTTGTTCTTTTCACTGGCAGCATTATCCACTCGAAGTGCTCGCCCACTGAATTCACGACCATTCAGGTTCCGCATGGCACTAAGTGCCGTCTCTTGGTCTTGGTATTCACAGAAGCCATAACCCTTTGGTTTTCCTGTCTCCCTATCATACACCAATCTGAAGAGCAAAACCAAGTATCAGGAACAAATGCTACATATGTACAGACTGACTTCCTGCTAACATTGGCATCAAATTCAGCCCACAGTAAGATACCCTTGTAAACAGGCAGTTTTTTATAAGTTCGAGGCCAGCCTGGCAAAAGAGTGAGTTCCAAGGCTGGGAGTCTTTAATCCCAGCACTCAGGAGGCAGAGGGAGGTGGGTCTCTGTGAATTCGAAGACAGCCTGGTCTACAAGAGCTAGTTCTAGGACAGGCTCCAGAAGCCACAGAGAAACTATGTCTTGAAAAATCAAAAAAACAAAACAACAACAACAAAAAAGATACCCTTCAAACTCTGCTTTTGTGTTTTTGGAAACATTTTTAATGAAAGAAACCTTTCAGCTAAGACTGGATCTCAATAATAAAGCATGCATATTTATCACAAAATCTGTAGTGATTTTTAAGGATCTCCCATGAATATCTTAAAAGAGGATCTCACCTGAAACTAACAACAGGCCCAACCTCAGAGAAGATGTCCTTCAGCTGTTCTTCAGTAGCTTCATAAGGAATGTTTCCCACTAAGAACAGATAATACATTAAAATGCTAGGACAGTAAGGAGCTCTTCGGTGAGCAAGTAAACAGTAGGCTTTCAAGTTTTATCAATAAATATGTAACAACTGACTGACTGTTCTCCAAAACCCGCTTCCACTGTATCTTTTCAGACCTCAGAACAGAACCAGAGACTAAATAATAAAAGATGTCTTTCAAACAGTTCTCACATAGATATGACAACTAGCATGTTTCCCCTAACTGATGAAAATCAATGTTTAAGCACTGGTATTTACCCACAGAACTGTGAGTTCAACCAGTGACTACCCAAAAACAGAAACTAAAGGGGGTGGGTTCGTGTCTTTATTTCTACGCAGAAACACACTTGTGGAGGGGTAGCCATGAATATAGTGGAGGCCGTTTATAAAGCACTTGGAACGGCTTTGGCACGTTTCTTTCAAATAGTGCTTCTTGTTCTTTTTGAGAGTCTTCTATGTAGCTCTGGCTTGCCTTGTTATGTAGTTCTAGGCTGGCCTGGAATTCGAGGCAATTCTAGAGCCCCCAAAACGTGCTTAAAAGCAAGACACATATTTTAGAAGCAACTCGTTTAAATCCTAAAAATTGCTTAGTTTCGCTTCTCTAAAATCTCCCTGAGCTTTAATCATTCATTCATTCATTCATTCATTCGCAACCCACCTCAAGATGCCAGGTGGCCGCTACCACTATGGTTGGATGAAACGTTACAAGTAAAAAGCAAGCGATATTACGCGTTTATGAGAGGGCGGGAAGTGGATATAGGGTCGATGGCTTCAGAATAAAATCAGTATTTTGGGCTAAGAGAAGCAGCACGGAACAGGGACGCTCTGTTTCCACGCACCTTTTCTCCTAAAAAATAACTGAGAATCATGAAGGGGAAAACGCAGAGAAGACAAACGCTAGAGTCTAGCTCCCTGAACCACACTGCGGAAAATCTCCAATACCTTGGAGCCGAGGTGTGTGTGTGGGGGGGTCTGTTTGCCCACGAGTACACCAGGCTGCCGCGTCAAAGGACAGCGGCGAAACGGCACGCCCGCCCCGACACCCGCTCCAGCTGGGGACCACAGGGGACATCCCTCCCTGACCGGAGAGGCGCCACCGAAATCCTCTCACCGAATACAGAACGCAGAGAACGATCCACCGCAGGGTCTCTAACAGGCAAACCCGCCATGGCTCACCCCCTGAGGTGGCTTCCGGTGCGCCTAAACACACTTCCGTGGGAGAACCAGCCCGGGGCCGAGCGCGCCTCCGTCCGGTGGGAGCCGGAAGCACCTGGACGGAGCCGCCGCGGATCCCGCTCCCCGCGTCACGTCGTGGGTTCCCGCCTGGCGTTTGGTCCGGGGGCGGGCCAACAGGCTAGTGGGCAGGGCTAAAGCCGGGAAAGGGGCGTTGACCAAGCATCGCGGGGCGGGGCTATGCTAATTTGAAGCATTTGCGTTTGCCGTCTTTCCCTCGCTGTCATTTTCGCTGGCTCTCACCCCAGCCTTTAAAAGCTGCGCTGTAGCGGCGTTACAACAGGGAAGTCATTTGCTAACAGCTCTGGCACTGTCATCTCAGGTCTGTCCTACTAGAAATGCGGAGGCCTTCCCCGGTAGCATACATCCTATTATTTTGTTGAGACTTAGGGAGGGAGAGTTGAGATAGGCTGCAGAATGAGAGGACTCGCAAAGTCTAGTACCAGCAATTAATAAGAGAGCCTAGGGAGAACGGACTGTGCTCTCTCATAGCCCCTGGGTTCTAGGTTCTTATTACTGGTGCAGTGTGACACGGGATATTAGCAGGGAAGCTTTGAAACGATGGAAAATGCCATTGGCTGTAGTTGTGCACACTCCAGGGATACTGCAAGAACAGTTGCTAACCTGCCACTGGGGTTGGAGGAAATCCAGAGTAGGTATCCTGAGGAGAATAGGATTAAAGATAGAAAAATGAAAGGAGTCAATAGCACTGCCACCTGAGAAAATCTTATCTGGTAAAGGAAGTCCAAAGTAGTACAATAAACACAGAATTGGAGGCATGGGTTTAAAAATATTTATTCCATGGGCTGGGTATGCGGCCCATCGGTACAGTGCTTACAAACCATGCATAAAACCCTAGATTAAGTCCCCAGGAAAAAAAAAAAAACAACATACCTCCTGTATCGGCAGAGTCTGTGCTTTAAATGTGATGAATAGAATACACAAGCACGCGCGCGCGCACACACACACACACACACACACACGCGCGCGCACACATACACACACACACACACACACTGTGGAGCATGTCTCAAGGAGTAATTCTGGTACAGGGAAGTTTGGGAGTATCACCAATCCAACTTACAATCACTATGTGAGCTATATCTTAAATAATAGACTTGTTCAAAGCTTGGCATTTATAGTTCTGTAAATGTCACAGATTGAGAATTTTGGTACATCACAGTTCAGTGTAGTGAGTTTTCACTAAGTGAATATATGGCTAAGTAGATTTCTCACCTAATGTTTTCAAACTGCAAAAGATTTACTTAGGATACTCAACTAAGAATAGAGGTGCTTGGACCTCCACTCCAATCTATATAAAGGGTGAGATTTTACACAAGGAACTGAAGAGTCATTTTTAGTGAGTGCCTCTGGTGGTTCTTAGGGTTATGCAATTTGGCAAACATTGTAGTCAATGAAGTAGTTTTATGACATTTGGTACAGCCACACATTCTTTTTATCTGCAAATTTTTTGTTAAGGAATAGCTGGACAGCTCCTACAGTAGTAGACCCAGAAATTCTTTGCTCAGCTCTCCCCCTTATGAGAGAGGATGCTTGCAAACACACAGGAGTGGTTTGGGATGTATGTAGGTGTGTATGGTTTTGTTGGATTGCTAGAAGAAGATCCGGGAACAGTATCACACTGACACATCCAGAGTTCCACTCGATGAACTCTGCACTCCACCAGATGCCCAGTTTCCTTGAGGAACACTTTCCGTCAGCTATGCTGGAGAAAGTAGACCCTGGCCTAACAGCCATGTTGTGTGGTCTGTTTTGCATGGATATCTTCTGCTTTAGCTCTCTCACAAATACGATGCTAGTTCCCATAAAAGCGGGCATGTTCAGGTATTGGTTCCATCCTCCACAGTTTTAATTTTCGTGGAAGGCACAGAGGTCCTTCTGCTCACAGATAAGCACTAGGGGGGAGCAGGAATATTAAACACACAGTGTTGTCTCTTCAAGAGAAGAGATGTATAACTGATTTCATGCCCACAAGGCTGGGAGCTGACCTGGTTGATAGCCTGGTGACTTTTTGTACTATCTGTGTGGCTGAGTCAACACCGGATCCTCCCCCAGACCCTTATCATGAGCTTGTTTTTCTCAGTTAATCTATAGAGCCTATCTTTATGGAAGAAGTCACATGTACTTTACAGAGAGTTTCAGCGTCTTTATGTCTTAAGCTTTGTTGTACACACAAGACTGAGTTATTTATCACCAGGGATCTTTTTCCAAATTGTGCTATGCTTAAATTTATTTAAAATAAACTGCTCAGTGTCAGACCCTCTTAAGTTTGAACCAACACCAACTACTGAGTCCTGTTGACCTTTCTTGCCTCCCATGGATCATTACTCTGCTGCCCACTGTAGTTTCGCTGTGACCCCCCAAAAGTACTATTGCTGTACAATATCCTTCCACAGAACAATAATTTGTTACAATGTTAATTTGTTAGTTCACAGTTCTGAAGGTCAGAAGTCTAATCTGACTGGATATGGCTGGATTCTCCCATTTAATTTTTCACAAGAATGGAATCAATGTGTTGGGCTTTCTGTGGGTTGTCTATGACACAACCAGCTTTTAATCTCACTGTGTTGTTAGCAACAATTGCTTCTTTGTGGTCATAGACTATGGTTCTTCTTTTCTTGCTGCCTATTTTTCTGGGGCTATTAGCTTTAGCTCGTGGATGGAAAAGCTTCTCACTGGTACGTGCATGGGGTAGCTACATCTCAGAGCCAGCTCTTGTATGACAAGACTTTTCCTGGGGAGATGAAACACAAATAACTGAGTCACTTAGGAAGGACAGTCAGTTACTCTGAAACTGCTTCCAGGCACTTTGGTAAATTTCAGCACTTTCCAGGCACTTTGGTAGGTTTCTGTATCTTCCAGGCAGCTGTGTGGATCTCGGGGTCTCTGCAGCCTGGCTCCTCTGAGTCTGTTTTGCACCTTGGCTTCTCTGACAAAGTACTCAGCAGCTTGTCTTGTTTACTCTTGGAGGAAGGGGCCTAGTGAATTTGGTCGATTTCAGGGACTCCTGAAGCTATTTTGAGTTGTTTACCTCTCTGCTTAAGGAGATAGCTCTCAGGGTGGAATGTTTCCATCTTGGAAGAAAGGGCTACATACAAACACCAGCAATGGCCCAATAAAAACCTGTGCTCCCAATCGCAGTTTTGCAATCGTAACTGGAGAATAGTCTGCTCATACAGGCTCACTGAGATATTTTCTCCATATCAAGATCAACTATGTTGGGGCTGGAAAAAAATGATTGAGTTAAGAGCACTCGCTGCTCTTGCAGAGAACCCAGATTCCATTTTCAGCATCCATCCACATAGCAGCTCAAAAGGTTCAGGAATTCCAGATCTGTGGGAACACATGCCATTTTCTGACCTCCATGGGCACCAGGCACACATGTGGCATGCAAATATATAGGTAAACAAACATTCATACACAAAAAATACAACTAGTACATTTTTGTTAAAGTAATTTTATTAAATTATAAAAGTTTCCATTTCTGCCCCACCTCCCAACACCCTCCCACTCCCCACACTCCCTCTCCTCCTCCCTCTTCGTCCCTAAGGGCAGACAGGGTTTCCTGCCCTGTGGGAAGTTCAAGCTCCTCCCCCTCCCTCCAGGTCCAGGAAGGTGAGAATCCAAACAGACTGGATCCCCAAAATCCAGTATATGCAGAGGAAACAAGTCCCAGTGTCATTGTCAATGGCTTTTCAGAAAGACTCCGGGCTAGCCACATTCAGAGAATCTGGTTGGATCACGTGCTCGTTCAGTCCCAGTCCAACTGGCGTTGGTAAGCTCTCATTAGATCCGTCCCCTTGTATCAGTGGGTGATAGCATCCCTCGCAGTCCTTATTTCTTTTTTCATTTTCTTCGTCCTTCTGCTCCTCATTTGGACCTTGGGGGGCTCAGTCCGGTGCTCCAATGTGGGTCTCCGTTTGTATCGCCATCCATCGTCAGATGAAGGTTCCCTCTGGTCTTGCCTCTCTTTCCTTCTGCTACTCGTTTGGACCTAGGGAGTTAAGTCTAGTGTTCCAATGTGGGTCTCTGTCTCTATCTCCATCCATTGCCAGATGAAGGATCTATGGTGATAAGCAAAATATTCATCAGTATGGTTATGGGCCAAGGCCGGTTCAGGCACCCTCTCCTCTGTCCAGAGAACAATCTGGGGATCTCTCCTTGGACCTGGGATCCCATATATAATCAAGTCTCCTGTAATCCCAAAAATGACTCCCTTAGTTGAACTATATTCTTCCCTGATCCCATATTCATCCTTCCTCCCTCCCCCACATCCCGGTCCACCGAGCTTTGCCCATTCCTCCCCTACTCCCTTCTTTCTAACCGTCTCCCCTTCCAACAACCCTCCCACCCCCCCATGCACCCGAGGTTACCTGGGACTCTTGTCTATTTCCTACCTCCTGGCGGATAGCTAAATAATCTTCTTCAGGTTCATCTTCTTATTTAGCTTCTCTAGGATCACGAATAACAGACTCAAAGACCTTTAATTATGGTTAGAATCCACTTATGAGTGAATACATACCTTGTTCCTCTTTTTGGGTCTGGCTTACCTCACTCAGTAAAGCGTTTTCTATTTCCATCCATTTGCATGCAAAATTCAAGATGTCATTGTTTTTTACCGCTGAGTAAAACTCTAATGTGTATATGTTCCACACCTTTGATCCATATCTATCACCATGCACAAAACTCAGGTCCAAATGGATTAAAGACATCAACATTAATCCGACCACTTTGAACCTGGTAGAAGAGAAAGTGGGAAGTAGTCTACAAGATATAGGCACAGGAGACCACTTCCTAAGCAGAACCCCAGGAGTGCAGACAATAAGAGAAACAATGAATAAATGGGACCTACTGAAACTGAGAAGCTTCTGTAAAGCAAAGGACACTGTCAGTAAGACAAAAAAGGCTACCTTCCGACTGGGAGAAGATCTTCACAAACCCCTCATCAGACAAAGGTCTGATCTCCAAAATATACAAAGAACTCAAGAAACTAGACACTAAAACCCTAATTAACCCAATTAAAAAATGGGG